ATGCGATAAAATACGCAAAGAGATGCCACATCTCTACGCATTGCCAGTGTATCGAGCCGATCAGAAAGAAATCGGTCGTCGACGATTCGAACCGCTCTGCGCTGGATGCAGTCAAGTGGAAGGAGCTGGCACTGGGGTGCCCCGGCCCAGAGATGAGAACAGTATTCCATGTGGGGCCGAACTTGCGTTTTGTAAAGTTGCAAGCGATGTGCCGGCATGAAATACTGTCTCGCTCTGCTGAGCACGCCAAGCTTTTTAGAGGCCAATTTGGCCTTCCCTTCCAAGTGACCACAAAACTGCACACTATTCGATATGTCGACACCAAGGATTCCGATACTAGCTGAGGCAGCAAGGGGAGTGCCTTGAAACTGAGGAGACACGACAAAGGGATTCTTTTGATGACATGAAAATCTTTGCAATTATTTTTTCTTCTATTAAAATTCGCAGAAGCATTACGAAATGCCTTAAAAAATTTACTTGATTATTGTACCCATAACCATCTCAAACTCAACCCTACAAAATAATTTGTTGTTTTAACTTTAAATCCAATATAATACCAATATAACTCGAATTGAACGTATCCAGATAAAATTTATTAAACACCTTTGTTACCGAGTAAACGACCACAACTCTAACCTCTATTACGGCAAATGTAGAAAGGTCCATCTTTTACCACTCGAAATACTACCTTTCTACTTAAGAAAACTTCAAGCGAGTTCGACTTTCCAGATCTACTTTCGAAGTTAAATACCAAAACTCCAAGAAACGTTGGACGAAAGCTCTCACTATCGCCACCCGTGGTCAAGACTAATTACAGGCAGTACTATATGTTCTGTGTGAGTAAAAACTTTAATACTGTATCTCAATTGTTGAATTTATACCTATTCAACACAAATATCATTTCGTCAAGACGAGTTCTGAGTAAGGCATTTTTCGACCCCAGCTGATAATTTTGTTTTTGTTTTTGTTAAACTGAAATGTTTAGTTAATTACTACCAGATGTTACCTAGCTAAGCTTACGGTTGGTGCGACAATGCCCTATTAACTGTCGGTATTTCACCGCATGCAAATATTTATATAATGGTACTTTTCGAAAAAAGAAAACCATAAATGGTTTCCTATAGCTTAAATATTTTCTACTTACTCTGAGTTTTTAGCCGAGGGTTTTCCGGTTAAATAAATGAATAAACACTCACGCCTGTCACCCAGAGGGGTCGACAGAGACTACTGACTTACTCAGGACATTTTATATACATATAGTTTTATACTGGACACCCTACGAGTCCAATATAATAATGTGTTCAGGATGTTGTTGTGATTGCCTCGTTTCTGTAGTGCATCAGCGATGTTTGCAGAATACAAAGTTGACGACTTTGCAGCCATTATTCGCAAAAAACCACTACGCTGATATTTAGAGCGCGTGGCAGCCAATAGCATTGTGCAAACTCTGGCAGATAGGTACACGTCTCCGCTTTGGGCCTGCTTTGTGAGGAGGGTATTTCAAAACAGAGTTATTTAAATTGAATCCAAATTGACTTCATTTGATTTTATTTTGATATTTTATTTTATTTCAATTGTATTTAATCTAATTTAATTAAGACATTATTTGATTTCGATTGATCTTATTTGATTTTTTTTGATTGTATTTAACTTAATTTAATTTAATTTTGACATTACTATTATTTGATTATTATTTTATTTTTGATTTTAATTTAATTTTCTTTTAATTTGATGTTCTAAATTACTAACCTAGTATAAGTCATACTAACAACTTATGGATCTTTAATATCTGAGATAAAGAATTATTATTATATTATTGTTGCGCGCCACTATTAATGTCTTGTACATGGCAACACTAGTTACACTAGCGCCCCCTAGTGTCGAGTAAATGAAAGTATTGCGTGCCACTATTAATGTCTTGTACATGGCAACACTAGGTACACTAGCGCCCTCTAGTGTCGAGTAGCAGAACTAGGAGAGTCAAGATCCTTCCAGAAATTTCGGGACCGATATGTACTCGAACATTCTAGATGTCGCTACAGTAGAAGATTCTGGAAACTATCTGAGGCCCTATATAAGGCCGGTATAGACCACGACCGAGGCAGTATTGAATTGGCGATACAAGAGAATACTTCGAAGCGAAATAACGGCGAACTGTGTTTTATTATTAGTGTGATTTTAGATTGTAATTAGTGTTGTGTAATTAAAGTGTCAATTTTGGTAATTCAATCGGCAGTTTTTTTAATTGTCTCGAACCCCAAGCTCGTAACAATTGGTGTCAGAAGTGGGATCAAATATGCCGATTTTACCTAAAGACGACACCGAGGGTATCCGTACCCGAAGTCAACACCAACAGGAGACGGACCAGAGACGATTTGGTGGTGCAACGTCACAGACGTCGGCAGGCCAGTTGCCGACCACGGAGTCCGGCCCGTCAGCAGCTCCTGCATCTGCAGCACCTGACTTAGGTACTCTGATGATGATGCTGCAGGAACAAGCTCGCCGACTGGAGGAACAGGCCCGCCGACAGGAGGAACAGGCTTGTCGGTTGGAAGAGCAGCTGCAGCGCGGACAGGAGGAACAAGCCCGCCTACAGGAGGAACAGGGCCGTCGGTTGGAAGAGCAGCTCAAACGCGATAAGGAAGAGCAGATACTTCTCATGAAGGACCTTCACGCTACCTTCGGGAAAGAAATAAGTGAGGTGAACGATAAGGTTGCTCAATATGACAACCGCCTGTCGGAAGCTGAAACCCGAATCGACCAAGTGTACAATCGGGTTGACAATGTGATGGCTGACGTGAAGAAAACGCTGAACGACCTCAAAATTGGGGATGGAGTTACAGCTCCCGTGGTAGCTACAACACCTTCGCTACGTGGATTCAAAGTGCCACCGTTTGATGGGACTTCTTCCTGGTCGGCCTACAAAATCCAGTTCGAGGCTGTCATGAAAGCGAACGGCTGGAATAAAAGTCAGGCCATGACTGCTCTCACCCTAGGCCTGCGCGACCAGGCCTTAACTGTTCTGGAAGCTCTCGGTAAGGAAGTGACTTACCAGCAGCTCCTTGAGGCATTGGAGGCGAGATATGGCGACGCTCACCTGGAACACGTCTTTCGTGCGCAGCTCAAAGATCGCGTGCAAAGCAGTAACGAAAACCTGCAGCAGTGGGCCCTTGAGGTGGAGAAGCTGGTTCGAAAAGCGTACCAATCTGTACCTGCGCTTATTGTAGGGAACCTGGTGCAGACATTCATCGACGGCATCCGCGACCTAGAAGTCAGAGCTGCTGTGAGTCTCGGGCACCACGAGACGCTTAAGGACGCCTTGACCCATGCACTGGAGGTGGAAGCCGTGCGGCAGGATCATCGTTCCCACCGCGTCAGGGAGGTTGCAGCAGCTACAGTTCAGGACCGCAATAAAAGCTACAGCCCTAGGTGCTACGGCTGTGGGGAAAGGGGCCATCTTCGATCCAGCTGCCCTAAGCGAACTGTAGAAAGGGAAGGTGATCGATCTCGAGAGGGTAGTGCGGCTAATAGTACCGCCCAGCAGCAACAGGGAAACGAGTAAAAGCCAGGACTGCGGGGCGGGTGCTGGCTGATGTTAAAAGAGCCCCAAGGATTTCGATCTCACAAACCCATGATGGGAACAGCCTAATCATCAAGGGCGAAGTCAACGGAACGCCGTGTAAACTGACCATAGACACTGGAGCCTCTCGCACGGTTGTCAGTTCCCAACTTATAAGTCGATTCCTTGGGGACTCCGCATACAACCGAGAACGCATTAATTTGGTGACAGCCACTGGTCAGCGCATACCCGTCCGTGGAGAGAAGGAGATGGAGTTGAAGCTAGGCAACATGATCTACCTGCATAATGTCATCGTGGCTGATATAATGGACGACTGCATCCTGGGCCTAGACTTTATGAGGAAGAATTGTTGTGAGATCGACGTTAAGCAAGGTGTTTTGAAATGTGGACAAGAGGAACTTTTCATGGAAGGGGCGTTACCAGGGAATGTGTACAGCCTTAAGAAGATTGTTCTTCCGCCGAGATCGGAAACGATTGTGCCGGTTAGTCTTCCTCGGAGTCCTGGGCAAGCTCATCGTTGTGTACTCGTGGAAAGGGTAGACAATGACCTTCCATGGAAAGTGGCTCGAACCTTGGTCAGTACCACCGACATCTCAGGAGTACGTGTGTTGAACCTTTGTGATCAGGAACAGATTATAGAAAAAGGCACATTGGTTGGTACTAGTGAGGAAGTGGATTGCGTCGATGCGAATATCTATCGACCGGGACCCCTAGCAAGGATGGACAAACGAGAGTGACCACACTTTTAGAAGACTCTCGCAGCGTTCTCTCCCCGAATGAAATGGTCAAGGCGAAGAAGTTGTTACTCAAGTACGCCAATGTTTTCTCGTCAAACGAAGGTGACATAGGAAAGACTGGCTTAGTTCAACACAAAATAAATACAGGACAAGAATTGCCTATTCGTCAGCGGCCAAGAAGATTGCCTGTAGCACGTGAAAAGGAAGTGGAAACCATGATTGAGGGTATGGTGAAGGATGGTGTTATTGAACCTTCATCTAGTCCATGGTGTTCACCTGTGGTGCTGGTAAAGAAGAAGGACGGCAGCATGCGGTTTTGTGTTGCCTACCGCCGCCTGAACGACGTTACGAAGAAGGACAGCTATCCCTTGCCAAGAATTGATGACACGCTGGACATGCTTACAGGCGTAAAGTGGTTTAGTACGCTGGACCTGAAAAGTGGCTACTGGTAGGTTGAAATTGACCCTAAGGACAAGGAGAAAACTGCATTCTCCACAGGAAAGGGTCTGTGGCAATTTAAAGTCATGCCGTTTGGATTGTGCAATGCTCCAGCAACGTTTGAAAGATTGATGGAGCTTGTACTTACCGGGCTAATTGGAGATGCCTGTCTGGTCTATTTGGATGACATCATCATCCTAGGCCGTACGTTTGAGGAACACCTTCAAAACCTGTAACGCGTGCTCATGAAGATCCAGAGTGCCAACCTCAAGTTGAGTCCAAAGAAGTGCTCACTATTCAAACGGCAAGTTAGTTTTTTGGGGTATGTAGTGTCGGAAGAAGGTATCCGCACGGATCCAGAAAAAATTGCCGCTGTCAAGGAGTGGCCGGTTCCAAAAGACAAGACACAGGTTAGAGCATTTTTGGGTTTATGCTCTTATTATCGGCGATTTGTGAAGAACTTTGCAGATATAGCCAAACCTCTGCACAAGCTAACCGAGGAGAAGCGACAATTCTGCTGGGATGAAAGTTGCGATATTGCATTCCAGGAGCTCAAGAACCGTCTGTGCAAAACACCTATTTTGGGGTACCCTGATGCGGGCAAGGAATTCATAGTTGACACAGACGCAAGTGATATAGGACTTGGCGGTGTGTTGTCTCAACGGAATGGTGATCAAGATATTGTGATAGCGTACTTCAGCAAGTCGTTGTCAAAGCCGGAAAGGAACTATTGTGTCACAAGACGGGAATTGCTTGCTGTGGTAAAGTCCTTGCAGCATTTTAGCAAATATCTTCTAGGGCGGAAATTCCACTTACGAACTGACCATGCTGCACTCAAATGGCTATTGCAGTTCAAAAATCCGGAAGGACAAGTTGCGAGATGGATTGAACTACTGCAGGAATACGACTTTGTGATCGAACATCGCAGCGGGAAATCTCATGGCAATGCAGATGCATTGTCAAGAAGACCTTGCCCTGAAGATTGCAAGCATTATACTAGGCAAGAGGGTAAGGAAGTGGTATCTGTGAGAATGCTCAGGACAGACCAGCTCAGCAATGAGTGGAAGGACAGCCTACAACATGCACAGCAGGAAGATTCGGACATTAAGCCGATTCTGGAATGGATGAAGGCCAGTGCTCCTAAGCCCAAGTGGAGCGACGTCTCAGCAATGAGTTCGACCACGAAAAGCTATTGGGCCCAATGGGACAGCTTGCTGATTCAGGATGGAGTCCTGTGCCGTAAATGGGAAAATGGTCGGGGAGACAGATGTCATTTGCAAATGGTTGTCCCTAAGGCTAAAGTACCGGATGTTCTACAACTGTACCATAGTAGTTCTTCAGGAGGCCACCTGGGTGTTAAACGAACTCCCCTGAAGATCCGAGAACGGTTTTACTGGGTCCACTGTCGTGATGATGTGGAGGACTGGTGCCGCAAATGTACAAGTTGTGCGGCTGTAAAGGGACCTCAAATTCGTAGTAGAGGCGCATTGAAATTGTACAATGTTGGTGCACCATGGGAGAGGATAGCCATTGACGTTGCGGGGCCGTTTCCGGAAAGTGAAAGTGGTAACAAGTATTTCATGGTTGTGATGGATTACTTCACTAAGTGGCCAGAAGTCTTCGCCATTCCAAATCAAGAAGCTTCAACAGTTGCAGATAAACTAGTTCATGAAGTCTTCTGTCGTTTTGGAGTACCCTTAGAGATTCACAGCGATCAAGGAAGGAATTTCGAGTCTCAAATATTCCAGGAAACTTGCAGAGTTATGGGTACTCATAAAACACGAACAACTTCTTACCACCCACAATCTGATAGAATGGTAGAACGATTTAATCAGACATTGGAAAGGTACCTGGCAAAAGTTGTGGAAAAACGGCAACGAGACTGGGACAGGCACATACAACCGTTTTTGTTGTCATATCGAGGCGCTGTTCACGAAAGTACATCATTGACGCCAGCTTTCGCAAACTTTGGGAGAGAATTACGGCTGCCTGCAGACCTGATCACCGGAATACCACCAGATGCCCCATGCAGTATAACCGATTATGCAAATGACTTGCGGAACAAAATGAATGACATTTATGAGCACGTCAGACAGACGGGCCAGCAAACGTCTGAGAAGATGAAAACACGGTATGACCGCAAAATAAACAACAAGGGGTTTGATGAAGGTTCTCTAGTGTGGTTACACAATCCAGTTCGCAGCAAAGGGAAATCTCCTAAGCTTTAAGCTAAATGGGACGGACCGTACCGGATTGTGACAAGGATCAATGACGTAACCTACCGGATACAGAAAGGTGCCAGAGGTACTCCTAAGATTGTCCATGTAGATCGACTGGCGCGTTATTATGGGGCCAATAATGCTCGGGACGAGCATGTCTTAGGAGGGGGCAGTGTTGCGCGCCACTATTAATGTCTTGTACATGGCAACACTAGTTACACTAGCGCCCCCTAGTGTCGAGTAAATGAAAGTATTGCGTGCCACTATTAATGTCTTGTACATGGCAACACTAGGTACACTAGCGCCCTCTAGTGTCGAGTAGCAGAACTAGGAGAGTCAAGATCCTTCCAGAAATTTCGGGACCGATATGTACTCGAACATTCTAGATGTCGCTACAGTAGAAGATTCTGGAAACTATCTGAGGCCCTATATAAGGCCGGTATAGACCACGACCGAGGCAGTATTGAATTGGCGATACAAGAGAATACTTCGAAGCGAAATAACGGCGAACTGTGTTTTATTATTAGTGTGATTTTAGATTGTAATTAGTGTTGTGTAATTAAAGTGTCAATTTTGGTAATTCAATCGGCAGTTTTTTTAATTGTCTCGAACCCCAAGCTCGTAACATTATATTATATATATTTTATTCTCTTCCCTCTTTAGAATTTTGGCGATAATTAATTTGCAAGCTGGTGCTTAACTATTATCAACTTAATATGTGGATGCCAACACATTGTATTTAAGTTAACCATGTCGCGTTACAGTTATATGTAGTTGTTAGGGAATACTTGAAATTAAATCTTGTTACAGCTGCGAATGTTCATTTTGCCATCTGCTGATTCTGACATTATTAGGTATATTTACCTACATTGCGAGAACAATTTTCAGTTTTTATTGAAGTGAAAACATCTTTAGCATCGTTGTCATATGAAACAAATGAAAAGACAGATAAATATATAAGTCTATAGGAGAGAATGAGATAGAATCTATACTTAATACTAGCTGGCCAGGCAGACGTTGCTCTGCCCTTTACAACGACCCTTCCTATGAAAAAATCCTTAAATTCGCAATAAAAAATTTTGAGGGTCACTTTTTGGGATAAAAACTATCCTATCTCTCAAGTTGGACCAAAATGCACACAGTGTGCCAAATTTGATTGAAATCAGTCCAGAAGTTTAGGAGTCCATCGTGGACAAACAATGTGACACGTAATTTTTATATATAAAGATAATACACACGAAGAGGTTTTCTGTTTGTTTAAACATGTTATTCTCTAGGACTACCATTTCGAATTGATAAATTCTTTTTGTATATGATACCCAAATTCACGATGAATAGTATAGGCTATCTTGCATTAGGCAAAACCTCTCAGCTAGCCTTAAATATTGATTTTTGTTAAGCAAGTCGGAAGAAAAACCACTCCCGAACTGCTTAATCCATGAGCTGGCGTAGTGATTAGTGATACGTTAATACTATGTTGTACAAAAATATAGATATAAATCTAAAAAAAAGAGGCCGCGATAACATAGTACTCTTTCTTATACATAAGCCAAAATATGGTATTTTGTGACAAAAAAATATTGAAAATCTAAAAGTGATTTATGAGCGTTATTATTAGGTACAGCATATTCGTACATAAGAACGAAAGTTACTTCATCATCAAGACAATTTTATGAAGATAAACTTTGCTTTTATAGCATGTTATTTGGACGCACAGTTTAAGAGATAATGAAAAAATATTGTCGCATGGCTCAGAGCGTGATATACGCGGGTGATACCGCGGGGAACAGCTAGTTCAGTATAGTGTTTCCTATTATCTCGGCCTCCTGCGATGCTTTCAAAATTGCTAATATAACTTTTAACTTTTAAAATAAAGAATTAAAAAATTTACATAAGAATTAATAAATTTAAAATTTGTCATACTGAATAAAATTATCATAATATATAAACTATTCTTAACAATGCATGACTTCATATCTTACTGATTTATATTAAATTGATCTATTTTACAAACCACCTTGATAATCAATAAATTTTTGTTTCCTTATCCCATAAAATTATTTTATATATAGAATTCATTGTTGTTTCTAGTAGTGTGTAGTGTGTAGTTTTGTCGAAAAAAAAATTGATTGACTTCAGTAGACATCGCTATTGTTAAGCAATTTCAGGTGAACGAAAATATTATTTTGATTTGATAAACCAAAATTTATGCTCTACGTGTCTAAAAATAAGGATTATAACATTTCACTTCTACCGCGTGTGAACAGGTTATTTTATGAATTTGCTTATTTTCCTAGATGAAATTAAAAAAAATATCACTCAACCTCAACCTTTTGCTCAAGTTTAAGGACAGTATAATATATCTATACATATAAATAAAATTGAAAGGTCTGTTCGTAATATTGAAATAACTGGCTTCTATTAAGCTCAATTAGTTATTTGAATGCTATTAAGTTATAAACATACCGTGTAGTGGCGATGTAAGAATAGCCTCTAACCCATATCGTCCCGTGGACGTAAGAGGCAATAGAAGGAAATTGAAACAGGTATCGTTTTGTGTATTTACTCTCTAGAAACTGAAAAACTATTTGAAACGGAACGTCTCTATTATATTGATATTGTATAATAAATAATTTCACCTCAGTTCCAACAGGCAACATCTAATCATCGGAAGATTATTAGCCTTCATTAGCTTCTTTGTTGCGCTTGTTGATTATGTTACGGTAATGCGAGATGTCTCGTAACTTTGACGTCCCGTTCCGTTTGCTCAGGGATAAGTACCTACCTATAAATCTCATATTGCGGAGTGAACTAAGTTCTACTGGTACCAATGAAATCGCTAATTGAAATTTTAAGTGCTCTTTTATAGTCTTATATAAGTGGGATGCATTACATTATTTTTGGGATGATACATATCAATATGTTTCTTTTAGGAATAAAATTAAAAATTATATGTACACTTTATCATTATAAATTTGACTAAATTGCGCAATTTTGATTACAACAATAAATTTTAGCTTTCATTTCCTGTGAAATATTAATGGCTGCATGATGGCGTCTAAGTTTTTCCGTAGATAGTACATAATAATTAATATTTTTATTAATTGTTAAAAAAAGGAATTATTAAAGAAGAATGTAATACTTGTTAAAATTATTACGTTTACTGTGTAAATACTCGTAAGTGGCTGTATGATGGCGTCTAAACTTTTTCGTGGATAATAAAAAGCTAATTAACATTATTATGACATTTTATGTTAAAAGATTTAATAAATGTAATTATTAAAGATAAACGCTGTCTATATGTAATACTAGTTAAATTATCATGATTTTATAAATTAGAACGAGTAAAGTTAGTTCATTATTTTTACTGGCCAACTCCATATCTATATCTATACAATAGGAACTCCACTCCGTCGTTGCTGCTGGTGATAAGAGGGCTGGTTCTTTTCTCGCTCAAAGGCTAAGTATATCCATTCAGCGGGGACACGCAGCCAGCGTTCTTGGCACGATACCGTGGGGAGTAGGACTATATGATAATTAGGTTTCTAGTTTTAGTTTTTTTTATTATTATTATAGTTTTTTATATTATATCTATACAAATAAATAAATTTGAAGCGTCTGTTTGTAATGTTAAAGTTACAGCTTTTTAATAAATGCACATGAAAGTATATATATACGGTACATAAAACAAAAAAAAGAAACAACGTTTAAAATGTTTATTTATCTGTTTGTCTGTCCGTCTGTTTGTTTAGGTTAATCTCCTAAATGACTTGACGGAATTCGACGGAACTTTCACTGGCAAATAGCTGGTGTTATAAGGAGTAACTTAAGATACCTTTATTTTTGAAAAAGAATTAGGGTTACTTTCCAAAAAATTAAAACACATGACATGTTATCCAAAATCCCGAAAAACTTTAACTTTTGTTTGGTAAAACGGGAAGTTTAGAAATTAAACGGTCCTTGATTGTCTTATCTTCTCTATCCGGGACGGGCCGAAATATTAGTTTTCCACTTACCCATAAAGCCTTCTTTCATCGCCAAGAGCTGGCGAGAATTTAAACATGCATAAAATGAAACGGTTAGCATGTCATAGAGACAAACTGAAAATGTATTATGTCTGGCTCGAAAATCGGTCGGCTCAATGGGGAAGGTTCTCGCACCGAACACATACTTAATAGAGCAGGGCATATTTATTGGTAACAAGTTGGTTCATTCTATCTAAGATTTTGGATTAAAAATTCATCTGATTCATATTATTCTGCATATGATTCTTTCTTAATCAAATAATTTTATACACAGTCTGGCAACTTTACCAATGGATGTTAACTTCTCCATCAGGGGTACACTGGTACAAAATTACGATTAACACGGAAAACGTAATGTTTTTCAAAATAAGCCATATTTTGAATGATAGTACAATAACATTTTTTTATTATTAATTTCCACGTCGCGTCATTTTAATTTTGCCAATGTTTCCTGTTAAAAAGCTTTAAATAGACGTTTACTCAACTATTAGTAATTATTCTAAGAGATATCTTGTATCCAATGATTGATAATAAACCATTAATATCATTATTTATTAAATTTTTTGTGTTTTAGTTATCGGCTTCATGTTACTTTTACCTCGCCATGGTTACTTATAATTAAGATAAAACTAGTAAGTACTCGTAGTACTCAAACAGTATTTCTCAATATTTATCAGTCCTACATATGTCGTAGAGCAAAACGTAACAAAACCAACTAACATCTGTTTAACGCCTACGGCGTAGTACTGCCACGTTAGTTTCTACACAAATTTAAATGTTCCTTACCATTCGTTTTGCAAAGTTCCACCGTAATTTGGACCACGTTTTATATTTTACCACTTTTATCGCCCAAATTTAAAGTGTTCGTTACGAATGGTTTTGAAAAGCTCCAGTGTAATTTGGCCCACATTTTACGTCTTTTATCGCCTCAATGTTTTATTCGTTACAGTGGCCACAACTTAATTTCTAAAAGTAGTTTTGCTA